CGGCCCGCGCGGACCGGCAGTGTACGGCTCGGCCGGTTCTCTGCCCTCTGGGGGACGCGAGCTCATCGGCCACAGCACGCCCGGCCCTACCCGCACAGTCCCGGCGGGACACGAGGCCACCGAATCTGCGGACCTGGAAATGTCACTCTCAGAACACATTTTATGACGCGTTCGCTGGCAAATAGCACAAAAAGCTAAGAATATACCGGGCATGCACGACTCTGACGAGACCGGCTGCTGCGCCGGCCCGCAAGTCCTGCTATTTTTGATGTCCGAGAGTGAACTGACAACTAGCCCTCAGGCGGCACTGGGGTCTGCGCACTTTTCCACGCCCGCATTCCCGGCCCCAAGTTAGAAAAGAGCCCGAGCGGCGTCCGGCGCCGTGATTCAGCAGCGGCCCGGGGGGGCCGGAGCGCGGGCAGGCGGCCGGTCTGGAAAAGGTCACCGAGAGCCGCGGGCTCCGCCGGAGCCCGGATCCGGCCAGCCCAGGCGCGGCGGGGGAGCGGGCGGCGGCGGGATCCTACCTTTCCTGCTTTTCGGGGAGCTCCGCTTGCTCCGGGCGCTGGCTCGCTCTTCCTCAATCGCAGCTGCTATCTCGGGGTTGTCTTCCCCATTGTACCAGACCAGGAGCTCCTCGCCCGGCGCGATTGGCTGCGAAGAGAGAAGAGACAGGCGCCGGGCCAATCAGAGCGGCGGTTGTTGGCGGGGCGGGGGCAGGGCGGGGCCGCGAGCCGGAGGCCAGCCCGGCAGGAAGGGCTCCTAAATCCTCCGCGGCGGAGGGCTGGGCGGCCGCGGGAAGGGACCCTCTGCTGGAGGGAGGACCTCACTTCCCGCCCGCCTCCTCTGCTGGGGGTCCGCAAGGCCACTAAGGGTCTGACTAGGAGAGATTGCTTTAAACTTAAAACTGCCATGCTGCCGAATCTGACTGTTCAAAGCCTCGCAACTACACGCAGAAGGAAAAATAAAACACGGAACCATTTTGCCCATGAAATCTAACTGATGAGAAATTTAAAGCACAATTAGAACCCCGTAGTTTGGCAAGAGAAGTGCTAAAAGCTAATGGCCACTGCACCGTTCAGGTTCTAACAAGTTAAACATGATAAGGAAGAACTATATGCCCCCGCACATTTATAAGTCACCGCTAATTATATCACGGAAAGGCTAAAAGCAGAGGACACACAAGCGTCCTGGCAGTATATTATCTATGCACTGCCACCAACCTGCTCAGGTCCGTGGAGAATTCACCGCCTTGTCCTCTGCACCACACATCGAGTTTACATGACAACTTAAATTTAAAAGGAAATGCCTAAAAATAACTCACACATATTATGCTCCTAAAACATTCATTCTTAACAGCCATGTGAGCAGTGAGGACATATACCATCATCATCATACTAATTACACCTAGAACAAGATCCTGAAGAATAAGTATACTGAGTGGAAAGATTATACTTCTAAATAGAATTTAAGGAAATGGCTTATTGGTTTCTCTCACAATGACTTCTGTTCAGAAAGTTCCAAGAGTATCCACACAAGTAAAATTCTGCCTAAAACCCATTGAATAAAATTAGAATCTGTGAGTCCATATTGATATAAACGAATGAATGAACAAGTAAATAAATAAGAAGGAAAGCTCTTCCTTAAAGTAGAACTCAACTAACCAACGAAAAAAGTAATAGAATTAGAAAATCACCAGTTGGCAATCATCTCAGTAATAACTATTTCAGGCAAGAATCATCCATGGCGAAAGTTTGAGGAGTGACAGAATACTTGCAAAGTCTCAAAATATCTCCCTATAAAACATTTATTGACTACAAAGGGAAAAACGGTATCTTTATGAGACAAAGAGACATTATGTGCCTCCTGACCATGTACAGAAGAGAACACAGCATCGCTTCTAGAGGTTTCTGCCCAAAATGCATAAACACAATTTAATCATAATAAATCATAAGAAAAGCCCAAACTGTGAGACATTCTACAAAATAACTGACCAGTTCTCTCAAAACTGAAAGGTTATAAAAGCAAAGACTGAGGGACAGATGACATTATAACTGAATGCAAGTGAGCTTTCTATTCCCATAAGGATATGATTGGAACAACCATATCCTTATGGGAATAGAAAGCTCACTTGCTTTCTATGTGACTAAGGTGTATCAATTAGCTCAGGGGTCCCCAAACCCCGGGGCTGGGGGCTGGGGGCTGGTATTGGGCAGTGACCTGTTAGGAACTGGGCAGCACAGCAGAAGGTGAGTGGCAGGTGAGCGAGCAAATCTTCATCTGGATTCGCAGCCGCTCCCCAGAGCCACCATCACCGCCTCAACTCTGCCTCAGCTCCACCTCAGATCATCAGACGTTAGATTCTCTTAGGAGCACGGGTCCCTGGTGCTAAAAAGGTTGGGGACTGCTGGCTTAGCTAATAAAATACCGTCAGTGTTAGCTTCCCAGTTTTGAGCACTGCACTTCGGTTGTGGAGAGGGATGCTCTTTTTGTTTTTAAGAGCAGGGAGAATCCCATCTAAGATGTCAGCTTAGAAACAATATAGTTCGATTCAACATACCTTCCAGTCTAGATAATACCCTTGAAAGTAAATATTTTGTTTCATTCTCTGCAGAATTGTTTATATAGTCCAAATTTTGAAATATTCTAAATTCTTTAAAATGAAAGAACAAGCCACTGTTTCCTTTGCTCCCTCACCCAAGGAAGGCTAAAACTTGATATTTTCTTCTCTTTAAACCAATGTATTATATTTTTTCAAAAAATGTTTTATTAGTTTCAGCTATACAGCACAATAATAGTTAGGCATTTATAAAATTAAACCAATGTATTATTAGTTCCCTTCTTGAGTCAGTTAAGCCTAAACCAAAGAAAACTTAACCTAACATATATAAGATTCGATGAGTTAAAATAAAGATTTTATGAGTCAATATATAAGATTTTTATGAATTAAAATAGCCATTACAGATGCCTTTTGGTACTGTTTCTGCTGAAAGAATGGGCTTTTTTACTTAAACAATTTATAGTTTCAAATGTATAGTTTGCTTCTCTATTTTTTTATTGTGAGTCACATATTCATGGAATGGTGCTATCATATAATAATTGAAATGATTAGGAAATATGTAAAGGCTTAAATAAAACTAAAGTGAAAGAGAACATGGAAAAGAGAAAAACAGCATTCCCAACTTATTCCTAACCCAAACAGCATAACCAGAACACTGGCTGCAAGACACCCACGGGACGCTTTCATGATACCTCCCAGACTCAGCTTAAGCTTCCAGGGTCATTCCACTGCAATCTCCTGAAGAGTACTAATTGTGCTAGCAAAGTATCAGCACAAACTTTTTACTTAGCAGGGTATTCTTTTGTTGTTGCCAAATACACAAAGTAAAACATATCAGAATCTGTTTTTACCTCAAATTTAACAAAGAATTTCTAAACAGCTAATGAGCTGGTGAGTAGCTAGATTAAAAACAATGAGATTTGCTAGCTGCTGAATAACTTTCAAAACTGTTAGCAATTAAGGTGATTATATTACTGAGCTGTATACTTCTCAACTTCATACCAATAACGGATACATAAATGAGACCACAGACCTTACCTGTTTCGTTCACTACTACAGAAGAACATCTACTACATACTAGACTATATTTGTCAAACTACCGAATAGAAGAATGAATGGACAGCAGGCTACCAGTTAACTTTCAGGAATTTAAAATAGTTTCTAATCATAGTATAAGCAAAACCGGTGTTGAGATTTTCCAATTACCTGGGTGATAGTTGAGAAACTGATACAGAACCCAGAAGAATACAACATGTAATTTATTTACAAAATCTAATCCACAGAAAGCTTAATCTGTAGTTAGATAATCACTAGTAAGGAATCTGAAAGGTCTCACGCATACCTGAGCAAACATCAAAGGGCAGGACAGAGGGAGGTCTGCAGGGATCACAACTATGTCAGGTCAGACTAAGACAGGTAGCGACAATAGCAGCAGTACAGCTAGTTAACGCTTTGAATCCCTGGGCTGGACTCAGAACACTTCACAGAACCTTACACACATCATCTTGTTTAATCTTCACAACGACTGTACATATTAATTTTATTACTACCTCCATTTTTATATATGAGAAAATTAAGACACAGAATTTAAGTAACTTCTCGTGGTCGCACATCTAGAAGCCAAAACCTGCTCACAAGGCCTCCACTCCTAACTATGACACTATGCTGCCCTGCCAAAATAGCAGCCATCATTTATTTAGCATTTATTAGGCACTAGAGCTCTGCCCATAATCACCTATGAAATTGCCGTGATCGCCCTATGAAGGCGATGTTATAATTATCTGTATCTTACAAATAAGGAAACTGAGGCACACAGCGGTGACTTGCCTAAGGTCACACAGCTAGGAGAGTCACAATGACTTGCCTAGGGTCACACAAGCCAGGACCTCATCCAGAAGTCTGGCTTCAGAGTCCACTCTCCCAAACATTATGTCTCTTGCTTCTCGATGTTTCTCAGATTTGCTACTAGAGAAGAACACAGTTTAATGAAGGAACTGCGAAGTGTCCTAACACCTCCCTGGGTTTGCTCTCCCTTGGAATCTCATTTCCACTCCCTGTCTCGTATTCGTCCCCTCGCTGGCATTTCATCTCCGCCAGGGTTCTGCCTCACAGATTTGACCAGATAGAACTATCACTTTAAATACATTTAAGAAACAGAATGAACTATTGAATCAAATTTTGAATGTTATTTCAAATTCCAATGTAACAAAATTTCATAGTAATACCTACTAGAAAATCATGCTATTATAATACAGCAGAAATAAAATAGAAAAGAAGGTTGTAAAAGTTTTAAATGAGAAAGCGCCACAAAAATGTATTTCCACAGACTGGAAGCAAGGATGTGGGTACACATGAGGCAGAGGACAGTCCAATTGGCTAAAGATAACAGAAAAAATACAGCAAAAAAAAAAAAAAAAAAAATTTAAGCAGCTTTTTCTTAACTAAACTTCTAGAAGTCCTAGTGCTACCAAACACGCAAAACTCAGAATGCTGCAAAAACTGACCATCATCTTAAATGCCTGCTCATCTAGAGTTTTCAACTCCATAAAGATAACTTCTTTCATGAACTGTCACCCATTCTGACATTTTTAATAGAAGTGAATAAAGAGAAATTTGCCTTACAGCAGTTTCAGCAAACGGATCTACTCCAATTCCAAAGCATCACCACTCCACCTCCAAGAACATTTCCCCGTACGATGAGTCCAGATTTGCCCTCCGAGAGAATGTGACAACAAAGGAGACAGACAGGGGCTGGCAGAAATGGAGCCACATTTAACGCTTCCCAACGCTAACTTCTCTGCATGTACTCGGTGACCTCTGACCTCACCACAAACCCTAAAAATGGCTTTCCTCCTTTTTTCATCTCAACAGCGAATGTCTCCAAATAAAAATCTGGCAGAAGGAAGAAACGTATTCTGTTTAATTCCCATTCTGTACAAAAGTTAGGAAGAAAAGCTGATCCAAGGCTACATTACATCGAAGACTAACATCGTGTTTTCAGTTAACACAGAACCACTGTAGCCAGATAGTTTCTCACAGTTGGATAAATCTGCCCGTCAAGCAGTTCCTAATGCCTCTGTACCTCAGGAGGAGAGAGGGAGCTGCTACCAGCTTATCAGTATCTACAAAGATGCAGTGCGTAATTACTGGACACCCTCTGCCTGCTTTAGTGCCCTTACGCACACGAAGCCATGGCAACCATATATTTAAAACAGACCTTTCAATGTGGTGATGAACCACTTTCAAATATAATACTCCCAAGGTTGGCAGAGTTATTACTGTCAGTCACGACTAAGGACAGCATTTGCAAAAATGCATGCGGAGTAACTAACGACAGACTAATTCTAACACTCTTACCTTTAAAGTTTTATAGTAAATGGCCCTGTTGATTTCCAGTGGAAACAAATTTTGTTCTTCTCCTGAGCAAGCCCAATTCACATATCGCAGCCAGTTCCCCTTCTCAGGATCGGTGGCATCGATGCACATCCATCCCAAATTTGGGTAATAAACCTTGGGAGGAGGAAAACACTTTTGTTAAAATCGGAGTATCTTAAAATGTTTCCACTTGCAACTTTTAAAACAATTCTTTTTTATTATATGCAAGTACTCTATAAAGCATTTCACAGAAACAAAATAAATAAGAGAGAAAAGAAAAATAAAAAATGAAAAAAGATATAAAACTGTACAATCCTTATTAGTTATTTTCTTATCTGGGCTTATTTGAGTAATTTTTTCTACTAAAGTTGGAGAGCTACAGTAAATACGGTTAATGATCTCTAAACGCTTCACGAATATGTACACAAAGACAAGTGACAACTCTATTCCCTAAAGATAGAACTGGAGGAGTGCACTGGCAGCGCCCCAGCCCCGAGCTCGCTGGGCGGTTGTGCAAGTTGAGCGTGGGGCCCAGTCCTGCCCGGTCCCTTTACTGCAGGGCTGACCAGAACTGCAGTGTGAACTCCAAGTGGGTAACAGGCTATGATGCTTTTGCAAACTCGGCTCACCCTTAAACCCTTCTCTATCCAGAGCATCTGTCCAGACTGAGGTGCTATGGAAAATAAATTGGTAGGATATACTAACGTTCTTCCAAAAAAAGATAAAAAACCCAACCCCTCTTTTAGGGGTCAGATCAAATCTACTCTTGCAAGAAGCTTTCCCTGATGAAAATCTTCTTGCAAGAGTCGATTTGATAGATGTGTATTATGCGTGTGTGTGTGTGTATGTATATACATATATATGTTTTACTTCCCCAAATTAAGCACTGCAAAAGAACTACAGAATCAATCTGACAGACCTATGAAAAACAAAACAAAAAGGATGTCTTTTACTTTCTCTTTAGGAAGAAAAGAAAGAATTTCGATGCTTCCATTTCTTTCCTCCATGTGGAAATTGAGGAACAAAAGTTAAATAATTTTCCCTAAGTCACCCACTTGGCTAGTAGTAAAGATGGGCTTAAACCCAGATCTGCTTGACCTCTACTTGTCAGTCCCTTCCCTGACCACCTTAGTTAAAACTGCAGATCCTCCTCTTCCCATCAGCTGCCCTAGCCACCCGCCCCCGCCACTTTACCATCCCTCATAGCACTTACGCTCTTTTTCAATGTGAGATAATCTACTTACTTATTTGACTTAGTGACTCTCTCCCCACACCAGAGTATTAGCTCCATGAGGAGAAGGCATTTCAGCCTTTTCATTCACTGCATAACCTCCAACACCTTTGCCAGCACCTGGCAAAGAGTGGGCTCTCAATAAATTACTATGGAATGAATGAAAGGGCACCATTACACACAACTGTGTAACTGCTATTGTTAAATGAGCACCTACTATGTGACAGGAACCATAAGGAAAGGCGCTTTGTAGTCACGTTATTTTATCACTGTAAGTGCCAAGGAGAATCTTTTCACTGTAATTACCTACAGTGAGTTTATTCAAAAACGGTTGTTTGCTTAAACACCTATCTTCACCATTCTAAAAAGAGATTATGCATGTCACATTAGACTCCTTGTCAAACTCCTATCATAATCATCCTGTTTACACACACACGCACACGTGCGTGCACACTTCTCCTTTAAAACAAAGAGAACGAGCAGCCCCCAAATGGTATGTTATGAAAAAAACAGCATCACAATGCAAAATGTGAACTTTTACACACCAAAATACTATAAACTGCTTTACTTTAAAATGTTTATGGGATATTTCTGTCATGTTTGCCAGCATGATAAAATAAGGAGACTAAAGTAGTTAGTCCTTTAATACTGTCAGTCCATTATTAGTAACGTTTTATTAACTTAGGGATAAAAAGCCCCATTCTGATGTATCACAATGGATGGCGTAATCCCACTCACTCCCAGCCCACATACTGGCGCAGCTACAGACACCAACGGGATGGAGATGACGCTGGAAAACATCGCACAGCTAAAGAAGGCAGCTGGAGAGAGGCATCAAGAGGCTACCCACCAACCTGAGAATAACAGCACAGGCTGTGCCGGGAACCTCCAGGCTCCCAAGTCAATACAGACCTTTGCAAATAGCAAGGTATTCCACTTGAGAGAATTCTTTATGTATAGCGCAGCTCCTTTTGTTTCAAAAGGGAAAAAGGCATCTGCTAAATCGTGCTTAAACTAAGATACTTAGTTTACAGAAAAAGATTAACATTTCCACTTTTTTAAATGTACAAACAAGTAATTCACTTGGCCAAAACCTCTTGAAGAAAAAAATTAAACTTACCTAACAATAATCAAAAACAACTTCAAATTAAATAAATTTCAGCTATCAAACTGGTAAGAATGTTTTCTTAAGGAAAAAAAATAAAAAAACAAGATTAGAAAGCAGATATTCCCCTAAACAACGCTGATCAGAGAACTGGTATCATTTTTTTAGATAGAAGTTAGCAGTACTTGACCAAAAAAAATCTAAAATGTACACCCACTTTAACCAGCGTATCTATTTGTAGGAATTTATTCTGAGATAATTGGGCAATCGTACCAAGATGAATGTACAAAGATGTTCACAGAAGTGCAGTTCACTAGCCCGTTTCCAATTCATTCCTACATGGAAAACACCATGGGTTAGGGGAGTATGATAATCCACGCACGGAGCAGATTATTAAACAAACATTGAAAAGTACTACTGTGTAAATGATTCATCGGCTTATATGTAAACTTTTGTTAGATATTTCTGTATTCCTTAAGAATTTTTTTTTCCAATAAACACATTATTTCTATAACTAGAAGAAAACAAAGATAATCAGAAATTGTGGAAACATCATTGGTATAAAAGTCATAATACACTGATGACTGAATAAAGCCATTTATAGAAAGTATGGCTTATATGATGCCATTTTTGTTTTAAACATGAATATATGAAGAGAAAAATACTCTGAAATTAAATAAGTGAAAATGTTAATAATAGTTTTCTCTGAGAAGTGGGATTATTCATGGTTTTTATTTTTTTCTTCTGCTGATCTGAATTTTCTCCCTTTTCTCCACCGATTTAGTATAATCTCTAAGTGAGAGAGAGAAGGGAGTGAGTGGGGAGAACAAGATGGTCTTCTGAATGAAAATCTAAGTCTGAATGAAAGTAGCCAAGGCCTGCCGAATGCTGAGCTGAAGTACGCCCCTTCCTCCTCCTTCCCACATCAGCACACACGCACATTTTTAAAACTATGTGGCTTTAGTGTGCTCATTTTTATTGAGCATCTAACCTTATATTTAAGAAGTGGGATGAAAATGTGTTTTTATAAATGATTCCTACCTCAGTTGTCCAAACCTTGGTTTCTAATTAGAATTAATTTCAGTGACTGACACACAGACTCTGATCTTTAAAATGAGACCGAATTTTGCTTCATGTAACTATAAATTACTAGACTGCAAAAGTGCCATAACACCACTAGGCCAGGGCGGTGCGAAGACAGTGGAGAACCACCTAGAATCCCTTCCTCTCAGACGAAGACAACGCAAAGGCAGGTCAGACTCCCACCCTAACTCAAACTCACAACATGTAACAAAACTACTCCAGATCTTCATGATGACCAAGAAACATTCAGCTGACTTGACCCAAAGGAGAAATAGTTCCATATAATCGATAATTTTTCCTGATGCAATATATAAAACAGTCCCTTTTAACAAAGTAGGGGCGCCTCACTTGGTACTACGTATTATGAAACAATTTTTACAAATTAATTTTCAAATCGGAATTCCCTATTTGGAGAGAAAGAAGTGAAGAAATGGAAACACCTTTGTGCCAAGCAGTGGACTAGATGCTTTATGTGTTATTCTGACCTTTACAAGGACCTATGAAATATTATTAAGCCCCTTCTCCATATGAGGACACTAGGGAAAGTTGGTAATTTTACTAAAATGCTGAAGTCACTAACAGTCAGAGCCAAGATTCAAACCTGGTCCCCTCACTCACTCCTCATTTCTATTTTCTCTTTCCAAACTCCTCCTTCCCACTCTCAGCCTTCCCCAGGTTATCCAGGCCTGACCTCCTATCTGCCCCATCACTGAACAGAGACTGCGTACCAACTCTGTCAAACAGAAACAGAACGTAATGTTCACACCACCCAATTTCCATTCAATTTAACCCAGTCATTTCGAAATAGTCATGAAATTTTCTAAATTCAAAATTTAGTACACGCTCCAATTTAAAAAACACGTTCAAAATTAAGTCCACATGACATACAGAGAGAGGTTTGCAAAGAATGAACTACACTGTTAAAGTTACTTCATGGGTTGGAGATGAGAATTTTAATTTATATCCTTCCTTATCAGTTTATTTGTTATAATGTATGTATATTAATTCAAGTTTCTAAATTTTTAAAAAAATTCTCATTCCATTAATGCACATCCTAAACTGTGTGCCTCTGAGGTCCTTACCCAGACTCAACTTGCAGTAACCAACTTAACTTGACGGAAATCACTCCCTGGAACTAAGACACCTCTACATACTCTCATGCTGAGGTAAGACTTTTATTCTCCCCAACCGGCCCCCAAAGTTCGAGACTACAGTAATAAAGCCATTCCACTGGCTGGTCTGCAGACCTTCCCCCCTCCACCTCCCTGGCTCCAAACACAATGACAAAGACGGACGCCCTCCCGAAGGTCCGGAGGCTCCAGTTTGTCATACTGTCTGAGGCTCCTTTTCGTCTTCATTTCTCTGGGGGTCTAGATGGTTGAATTTCCAACACTATGATCTACAAGCAGTTTTCCACTTTCCCTGTCTAAACAAATAGAACTATAATTAGGCACTGTCTATCTCCCAGGAACAGACAGGGAAAGTGGGACACGGTGCAGAGAGCCACTGACGTCTGTATCAGGTAATTTCATATACATCGTCTCATCTGCAGCCAAATACACGAGGAGCTTGTTATCCTCAACTAAAAGTGACAATATAGAAAATAAGGATAAGTTCATTTTGGTATAGCACCATTTCAATGAAAACATTTAATAAGAGTTGTAACTTTCTAAGTTACGAGGAATTTTATTAACACTGCTACCTAAAAAATACTGT